GTGGTGCTCACAGTGTATTCAGGGCTGTGGTGCTCACAGTGTATGCAGGGCTGTAGTGCTCACAGTGTATTCAGAGTATCTGAGGCTGCAGGGCTGACAGTGTTTTCCAGTTGCAGACAGAAATTAGTCTGTTTTCAAGAGCACCTTATATCACCCCCACTCCCCCCCCCTAAACTGAAACAGATGGGTTGTGAATGCTTATTACAAAAAAGACCAGGTCGTTATTCATTTTTGTGTTGGGCACATTGACAATACTTCTTATCAATCACCTGGACATCCAGGCTGTGGAAACAATGTATCATTGCTCTGGGTGTATAAACTTGTTTGAAATGATCAATTTGCCATTGATCTGCTGATTAGGACTGAGGCAGGGGGGTGTGCAATGCCTCACTGAGCTCAGCAGCTGGGTTTGAGGAGCTGCTGTTGTCAGCCTGATGAACAGGAGGGTTCTGAGGAAACCCAGGAGGAGTGAAAGGCCAGAGATCCTCCAGCGTCCTGCAGCGGCGACACTGCCACTGAGGAAACAGTCCAATAAAGAATGTTGCATCACCCCCGATCCCCACTGCTCTGACTGCAGGCCTCTGCTCAGTGTACCAGCACAGGCCTGCAGGAGACTAGACAGCCCGTCGCCTGGCTGCCTCCCGGATTCAAAGGTGTTTCTTAAAAAGAAGTCTGTAACGTTTGCGGCGCAGGTCCGCGATCGGGGCTCCTGAAGGCTGCGGCTCACGTCTGCAGCCAGGAACAAAAGCCCGCGCTGCACCCCCCCGAGTCACCCTCCCCTCCGCGGTGGCGGCTGGGGAGCCCCACCTTGAACCCCGCTAATCTTCGGCGCTCCTCAGGGGGTGGGGGGGGGCGGTCGGACGGCGGTCTGGGCAAGGAGAGGGGGGTCAACGGGAGCCGTCTCTCTCCACACGGACCGGAAAAGGCAGACAGAGGCCACCCCCCCTTCACAAAAGGGACGATGCGGGCGGACGATACCGCATCTGCCTGTCACAGCGACAGCACGAAGACAGGAGCCCCCCGCCGCTGATCTCTGATCTCCTTTTACAAGAGGAGAGGTGGAACAGGGGAGCAGGCCGGAGCGGGCCGTGAGGCGGGAGAGACAGGGGGACACAGGGGGTCCTGAAGGAGACAGGGGGCACGGTGGGGGACATGGGCTCCCGCAGACCCCCCCAGGAAGGGAAGGATTTGAAGTAAAAGTCAAGCGTGCTCCTGCCTCATCTCCTCGCTGTCTGTTTCCACGGCTCCGTCAGGGAAAAGAGGAAGTCAGTGAGCAGGAATTTGCAAGTGAAAAGAATGAAC